CAGTTTTCTGATGAGAAATGTTTATATCTATATATTAATCGTTAGTTCTTCGTTAGTCCTCGATAGTTCCCAAATTTTTTCGTTAGTTCTCAAAAAATAAAAAAAGTTACGAGGCATACAAAGTGGGTACGCTAACTTCACAATTGTACAATTTCCAGCGGGCACAGTTTTCTGACTATAAATGCCTATATCTATATACCAATCGTTAGTTCTTCGTTAGTTCTCGATAGTTCCCCAATATTTACGTTAGTTCTCAAAAAATAAAAAAATTTACGAGGCATAGGTACAAAGTGGGTATGCTAACTTCACAACTATACAATTTACAGCGGTCACAGTTTTCTGAATAAAAATGCTTATATCTATATACCAATCGTTAGATCTTCGTTAGTTCTCGATAGTTCTCCAATATTTACATTAGTTCTCAAAAAATAAAAAATACTACGAGGCATACAAAGTGGGTACGATAACTTCAAACTATACAATTTCCAGCGGGCACAGTTTTCTGACCATAAATGCTTATATCTATATACCAATCGTTAGTTCTTCATTAGTTCTCGATAGTTCTCAAATATTTACATTAGTTCTCAAAAAATAAAAAAAGCTACGAGGCATACAAAGTGGGTACGCTAACTTAACAACTATACAATTACCAGCGGGCACCGTTTTCTGACTATAAATGCTTATATCTATATACCAATCGTTAGTTCTTCGTTAGTTCTCGATAGTTCTCCAATATTTGCGTTAGTTCTCACAAAATGAAAAAGTTAGAAAGCATAAAAAGTTGGTACGCCAACATCACAATTATAGAATTTCCAGCAGGCACAGTTTCTAAATAAAAATGCTTATATCTATATACTAATTGTTAGTTCTTCGTTAGTTCTCGATAGTTCTCCAATATTTACGTTAGTTCACAAAAAATTAAAAAGTTACGAGGCATACAAGGTGAGTACGCTGATATCACAATTATACAATTTCCAGCGGGCACCGTTTTCTGACTATAAATGCTTATATCTATATACCAATCGTTAGTTCTTCGTTAGTTCTCGATAGTTCTCCAATATTTGCGTTAGTTCTCACAAAATGAAAAAGTTACGAAGCATAAAAAGTGGGTACGCCAACTTCACAATTATAGAATTTCTAGCAGGCACAGTTTCTAAATTTTAAATGCTTATATCTATATACTAATTGTTAGTTCTTCGTTAGTTCTCGATAGTTCTCCAATATTTACATTAGTTCACAAAAAATTAAAAAGTTACGAGGCATACAAAGTGTGTATGCTAACTTCACGATTATACAATTTCCATCGGGCACTGTTTTCTGACTATAAATGAATATATCTATATAACAATCATTAGTTCTTTGTTAGTTCTCGATAGTTCTCCAATATTTACGTTAGTTCTCAAAAAAAAGTTAAGAAGCATAAAAAGTGGGTACGCTAACTTCACACTATACAATTTCCAGCAGGCACCGTTTTCTGACCATAAATGCTTATATTATATACCAATCGTTAGTTCTTCGTTAGTTCTCGATAGTTCTCAAATATTTACGTTAGTTCTCAAAAAATAAAAAAGCTACGAGGCATACAAAGTGGGTACGCTAACTTCACAACTATACAATTTCCAGTGGGCACTGTTTTCTGACTATAAATGCTTATATATATATATACCAATCGTTAGTTCTTCGTTAGTTCTCGATAGTTCTCCAATATGTGCGTTAGTTCTCACAAAATGAACAAGTTACGAAGCATAAAAAGTGGGTACGCCAACTTCACAATTATAGAATTTCCAGCGGGCACAGTTTTCTAAATAAAAATGCTTATATCTATATACAAATCGTTAGGTCAGCTTCAACTCATCAGGTGCAATTTTTTAATTTTTTTAGAACTAACAAAATAAACCGGTGAGGTATCAAGAACTTACGATTAATATTGAGATATAGGCACTTTTAGTCAGACAAGGGTGCACGCTAGGAATGATTTAGGTGTGAGGTTGGCATAACCACGTTTAAGACCTTATTGCCCTTTTTTTTTAAGAACTAGCAATAATATTTGGGAACTAACAAGAAATAACGAAGAACTAAAAATTTGTATATAGATATAAGCGTTTTTAGTCAGAAAACGGTGCCCGCTGGAAATTTTATAATCTGAAGTCAGCGTACTCACTTTGTATGCCTCGTAACTTTTTTATTTTTTGAGAACTAACGTAAATATTGGAGAACTATCGAGAACTAACAAAGAACTAACGATTGGTATATAGAAATAAGCATTTTTAGTCAGAAAACGGTGCCCGCTGGAAATTCTATAATTGTGAAATTGGCGTACCTACTTTTTATGCTTCGTAACTTTCTTATTTTTTGAGAACTAACGTAAATATTGGAGAACTATCGAGAACTAACGAAGAACTAACGATTGAGGTATAGATATAAGCATTTATAGTAAGAAAACGGTGCCCGCTGGAAATTGTATAGTTGTGAAGTTAGCGTACCCACTTTGCATGCCTCGTAACTTTTTTATTTTTTGAGAACTACAACTAACGTAAATATTGGAGAACTATCGAGAGCTAACGAAGAACTAACGATTGGTATATAGATATAAGCATTTTTATTAAGAAAACTGTGCCTGCTGGTAATTGTACAATTGTGAAGTTAGCGTACCCACTTTGTATGCCTCGTAACTTTTTTATTTTTTGAGAACTAACGAAAAAATTTGGGAACTATCGAGGACTAACGAAGAACTAACGATTGATATATAGATGTAAACATTTCTCATCAGAAAACGGCGCGCGCTAGAACCCGGAAGTGTGAAGTTAGCGTACCCACTTATTATCGGCTATAACTTTTTTATTTTTTGAGAACCAACGAAAAAAATTGGGAACTATCGAGAACTAACGATGAACGATCCTGATGTGTGCCAAAGTATAACTAACGATGATTGGTATGATCAAAAGTTGATACGCTAATATGGGTACGCCAACTTCACGGACCTGCAGGCGAGTGCGGAATGATCTCGAGTGCAGCAAAGGCCTTTTGCACTCGTGTTACACATTATATTTTTCCTACAGTCACTATACTGTAAAGCATATAAATAATTAGTCTTTCAAACACTATACAACACGTTTTTAGGTTCAGCTGGCAACACAAATAGGTGCCCTAGAGAAAGTAGTACCCGGTCCGTATCACTCCGCTATTTTTCCTCGGCAAGAAATGTGCTCCGCGACTTGAGAATTTAGTTCCGTATGTTTTTGTAATTTGACGTGGTTTCCGCGCCTAAAAAAATGCTTTAATGGTATTTTCTAGTTTATTAAGATCGTAGGAATGTTTAAAAAACGTTTAAAAGAAAAGTCCAGAAAGTTCAGAAATACCGAAACTATAAACACGAAATGGCAGGTTAAATCGTAGTTATAATAGTCAATCAGCTGCTCATAGTATTATTATCTTTAAGTGTTGCCAACCTATATTTCCAAGCGTACACGGATTACGTGCACAATAGAACCTCGCTGTTTTGTGTTGTTTCGTTGGAATCCTGATGTGTGCGAAAGTATAAACCCTACGACAAAGTATAAACCAAAGTATAAATATACAGGGTGTCCCGGAACTCTCTACCAATATTTTGGGGCATTGCTCCTGGGTAAGAAACATAACTAAATATCATATTTAAACTGCCCGGAAGTCCTTGGTTACTCACACAGCCGCCATTTTGTTTTTTTCAGTTATTAATTTTTTTCTAATGAATGGTTAAACATACGAAATGGAAACTTTGCACAAACATGTATTACAACTAGACAAAGCTACCAAAAAATTATCACGATTTTTAAAATTCACAAAACAAAATGGCGTTCATTTAAAGTTTTCTTTCTTTAATAACCCAAAAATCATTGATTTTACAAAAATTTTAAATGACCGCCATTTTGTTTTATGAATTTGAAAAATCGTGATAATTTTTTGGTAGCTTTGTCTAGTTGTAATACATGTTTGTGCAAAGTTTCCATTTCGTATGTTTGACCATTCATTAGAAAAAAATTAATAACTGAAAAAAACAAAATGGCGGCTGTGTGAGTAACTAAGGACTTCCGGACAGTTTAAATATGATATTTAGTTATGTTTCTTACCCAGGAGCAATGCCCCAAAATATTGGTAGAGAGTTCCGGGACACCCTGTATATGTAGCGATTAGCAGCTTTCTGTACTATAAACAGTACAAGGAAGCCAACTTTGTAGGGTGACTGTAGGAAAAATTTATTGTTACCATCGATGTATAATAACTATTGTTACCACATAGCTATTTCAGAAAAAGGTATTAAAGTATTAAAAAAAGTTAAACCCCCCATACAAACCCCATCGACTGTTTATATAGTCTGATCTGATCATGATGCTCGCATATGTTCATATCAAGGTTTTTCTGTTCAGATGTCTATTTTTAGCTTTTCTGCTTAGTTACCATTGCCAAGCATTAAGCAAGGTAAATATATTTGTTCAGTATGCTAGTTTGTTAATGTTGTTCTTGATCTTTTCAATATCCATACTGTCATTATATATATATAAAAAAAATGTTTGTTGTAAACATTTTGTTTACCGTGTAAATAAATAAATAAATAAATGCTGGTTTGCGAGATTGTTTAACTAAATGTAGTAGGTTTACACGTTTGTGCCAAAATTTAATCATGATCGGTTGATTATTGCTATCGTGCTAACGAACGGACAAATTTAAATGAATTTGAGGGGATGTTGTTTTTGACGTTACTGAGTCCAAAAATCAAAAAGTAAACGGCCCCGTGTCCAGACCATGAGACCTACGGTAATAGCTTATTCCCCATATTATGGGAAATTCGCTAAAAGATGAAAAATTTAAACGCTAAGGACGTCACGCATTTCTTTCCCCCACCACTGTGACGTCAGAAAATAGCGGCGAGTAGAGAAACAGGGAGAATGAGAAAGAACAGAGGAAGAGGAGAGTGGGACGAGAGGGGAAACACGACTGTCGACTAGTGCCACTGACTGCCCACTTCCACTAGTAGTGGTGGTAGTGCCAGTGCCGACTGCCGCCACAGAGCCAGAGTGGGCTGAGCTGAGTCTGAGTGGAGTGCATGCATAGTGTGTTAGAAGATGGCGGACTGTGCGTTAGTTGACGGGTTGCCTGTATGTAAAAATTTAGTTGTAAATGAAAACGACGTTTTATTAGGAAGTGCGAGTGAGGACAGCAATAATACAGAAGATAGTGTTAAGTCTACGTATTTTGTTTGTGAGAGTGACGCCTTGTGTTCAAAATTCCAGTTAAATGGCGTGCAGTTGAGAAGCTGCCCCGGAATGGATGGCCGTGTGATGGGTTCAGACACCGAGGAATTTTCGTCCTCACTGAAATCGATACACGATGAAAATGGTCATAATTGCAGAAAGAAACGTTGTGTAGATCGCTACGACAGTTCAGAAAGCTCAGACAGGTATGTTTTCAGTCATCATTTTGTTAAAATATGCAGCCTAGCTTTACCTTCTTAGTTTATTATTGAGCAGATGAACATCGGCACAAAGACGAGCCCAGGTTTAACTTGTAGTGGATCTTCCCGTTTTGTTTTCTTCATTAATGAGTTTATATTATGATGTTTCGGTTGCACATTAGTTTACGTACTAGGCTACCACGAATACTAGAAAAATACTTGCGTCCTACATTTACTATTTAAGTACACATTTAGAACCTTTTGACTATTATCCAATAGTCAATGATAGAACCTTTTAGACATTCCATCCCCATGTTAAAGTTGTAGCCAGGTTTTTAATCAAATTTGTCTTAGTTGATGTGAGCCACCTACAAATTGCGCTGATCTAAATTACTGATTTCTGCCGACTACACGATGGTTTTTACCAAGTCAAACTGATAGAATGACTTATTATGAGCTAAGTTAAGTAAAATAGCAACTGTTGTATCCAATTGTCAATGATAAAACTAAGTTAAGTTACCAGCTGATTATGAAATGAAACTGTAGTCCAGCCAAAACGAATGTTAAACTTTGAAGTTAAAAGGCTAGTAATTTTGTAGCCTAATTATTGTTTGTAGCCCAAATTTGATGTCCCAATCGTAAGTTTTACTGCTTAATTTTACTTGAAATAAGTTAAACGTAAATTAAGTTAGGCCTATCTCTCTTTGAAGCTGCATAGACACAACCAAAGTGCTCCTTCATAAACTTAATTTAATTCTTGGTTCCAAGCGTCTCAAGACTTGATCAGTTAAACCAATCAACTAGGTAAGGTCACTTGGCTAAATATTTAAGACATGTTTGAACCTTCTTTAAGGTTAGTACCTAAGTTAATAAGTTAGGCGTTGGAAGGCTGCGGGCTGCACTAACTTATAGCAATATAGGTACTTAGCCTATTGATATAGGTAAAGTTACAAGCCTTTTTATGTATCTTTAGGCCTATTATGTTTAAAAAATAGGCCTAATAATGTAGGCTATGTAATGAATCTCATAATTAAGTATCATAACTTAAGAGTCTTCCGTAGTGGAAGCCATGTTGGATTTCTTCCCCATAAGAACAATGTTAGAATTGCATCATTTGTGGACACGTAACAGCGTTATTTGTTAAGATATAACTTAGCTTTGAAATTTATAATTTGTATTTTTAACATAATAGACTCGTGACTGAGGTTTTTGAATTTCGAAAATCCATTTTCATTTCCTTTCAATAATTAGCTTAATTTTAAGCTAATTGATAATCAATTATTCATTATAAAAATTAAAAATTGTGAAATAAAAAACATCAATCTCTAGAGGACATCAATTCCTTAAATTTAACTCCTTATCCATAATTATATGACAATTTGCTGATGAGATATTTGGACCCAAAGTTAACGTTCTTATGGGGCAGAAAGAAAACCAACATGGCTTCCACTACGGAAGACTCTTAAGTTATGACAGTATAAGTTAGCCGTTTGTCAATCATGATCATTAGATGACCACATGTATTAAGCCGAGTACTTAAGTTGTAACTTGGCATCCCATTGTAAATTTCTTAGCTCGTTTTCTTTTTCGTGTCAAAAGTTAGTTCGAATGTAACTTATGGTGACATTGGGCGCAAACGTGTAACTTACCTCTACAGTGGGCCTACACCGTACAGAAACTACAGGTCTAACAATAAAATTGTCTTTAGCTGTTCCATACGGATGAGAAATCTGTTAAATTTAAGTTTTTTAGTTAAGTTATAGCGATTTCAGCTAGTTGTTATTTATTTCTTATTTTTGTAGGGTTGGCCTTTTTTATTTAGGCTACAGTAACCTATTTATTTATTTATGTTGACGGCAGACACCAATTTTACAATTAAATTTTACATTGTGATACATGCGACAAGAAGCTTTATTGACAAGTTAAATATTGTGCAGATAACTTACATCACCATGTTATGATAATAGGCCTAATAATAATAACAGTGATACATGCAAAGATGAATTTTCAATGAAAATGACATGCGGTTATTTATAATAACTATGAAGAGTAGGTAGGCCTACCGGTAATCATATTAATTAAGTAGGTAACATGCTTGGCGATTAATAGACTATAACTATAGGTAACAATATCAATAGGCCCCTATATATATAATGCTTGGTGATAAATAGTCGAAGTTATAACTAGGTAGGCCTAACAATAATAATTGGCAACAATACTGGCAGTGGTGATGGATGCAATATGGAACTGAGTAATAGTAATATTAATAACAGACTAGAAATAGATATCAGTGATTATGAATGATAACTAGATGTAAAGTAGGCAACAGTGACAAAATTCATAAAAGATAACAAAGATAGACTCTGATGCAACAGCAGGAAAAATCAAAACACTCCCCCCGCCCACAATGTGGTTGTGGCCCTTTAAAGGCGCCACCAATAAACAAAACACGACACCGTTCCGTGAACACTGTAGTGAGGTCACTTTAGAGGAGTAGCCTCCGGACGTCTTGCTTGAATGAAGCTGGTGATGGCCCGGAAAAGTTGAGACAAGAAGACACATCTTCGCTGGTTCTCAGGAGTCTAGAGATGCCGTGGTTACGAGCGTAGTTGGTCGGCTGGTATCTCCTTGTGAAGACAGATCCAGATTGAGTGCCCCTGGGAAAGGTGAGGTTGATATCGTTTAATAGCTCAGGACAATCGATGATCACATTTACCAGTTTATACAGGAAGATGATGTGGTCTCTCACTGGAACAGGTTGTATATCAAACTGCAGGGTCAGGGCTGTCACAAGTGCTTGCAGGAAGGGGAATCCAAGTTTAAGACCTAGCAGTCTGAGGAAACGTGTTTGGATTCTGTTTAGGATGTCCATGTGGCCTACTTTAAATATTTCTCTGTGGGTATCCAAACTTAGGCCTATATAGTTTAAGTATAATTATTAAAGTGTGTGCTTTGGTAAACCTACAGTACCACATACTGGAGGGAAACACATGAAGGATGAGAATAAGCATACAGTATTATAAACATATCTTTTTACTATTTAGTTTTTAGTTTTAATGTTCATGAACAAAAAAATAGGATCAGGAATTTATGTAATGCGTAGCGGACAGGAAGCAACTAAGACTGCAGTGATTAACTAGGCCTATATGCCTACTGTACTGGACAGAGTAAGCTTACAAGAGGAAAAGATTCTCACTCTCACAACACTCGAAGAGCTACTACCCTCTCCCAGCTCACTATACAACTCAATACAGCAGGAAGCCTACCTACATGGGATGAAAGGTCGTCAATAGCCTAAGCCTGCCCAACCACTTGAAGATCTTAAGAAATCAAGACTTGAAGAGGAAACTCAAAGATTGGCAGTGGATCAACCTTTCAAAATTGTTAAGCTAGATGAAAATTCAAATGAAAATCTATGTACCCTATATTGTATTTCTTAAAGAAATCTCAATAAAGAAAATTGATTGATTGAATGAAAAGAAATTTAGGAAACATAAAAACACACTCCCATCAATAACGTTTAAACCTAACTGACTGGAGAGGAACATATTTTGAAACTATTTTACACCTTAACTAAATGATGAATTAATTTGAGAGTACCAGAGCCTTAGTATATTTATCTTATAAATACCGGTGGTACCGGTATTTATTAGATACATCTATTAAGTTAAGGGTCCCAATGAAGTTGAAAAGGTGAAGGCAATTTCAAAAGGCCTAAGTTTTTACAGTGTGGTGTCTTCCTGGTTTATGTAGAGGGAGCTTTTATTTTGATGGATGTGATTATCTGATCTATTTTTTCAAACGATCAAAATTAAGTTTAATTGGCGTAGTCCGGAAATTAGATTGCTATATGCAAATATTAAATAAGTTTACCCATATAATATTTGTATTTATATTGAGTTAAATACCTATTTTCCGGTACCTAAAGTTAAGAGGTAGGCCCAACATATTTAAGTTAGCCCGCATCAACAAGTACGTACTAGAACCAGCTTCAGATTTTATAATGTATCATATAGGTAATTAGCTTAAGATAATTAAGTGATGTTTGACGACTATTCATTATTTGTCATGCAAATCACTTTGAAACTTCGGAGTTTACAATAGATGAGTGAGTAGACCTAGCTGTGTAGCCGTGAGCGTACAGCGGAATAGGAAGGGGACGACCGCGCTATGTTGCCAAGCTCCCGAGGCCGTAGGGCAAGGTAAACACTAAACACGCCTTTGGATGTCTGCCCGTCGCATAACGAATAAGCATTCAATATTTAGTAGTACTGTTTGTGTTGTTGTGCACTTTGACCTGTGAACAATTTTCTTCCAAGTTTCGATTATGAAATAGTGTATAAAGTATGATGCGTATTTAATCAATAACCTACTAGAGGTCGTCGTCCAGTGGTCGAAAACTCGACCAAAAATATCTAATGTAGGTACAGACTTCTTTATTGTGATTGTAATTTCTTACATTTGTTTTGATTTTCTGTTTAAGCTATTTACCTAGTTTTTTATTTGTCTCTAGCATGGCAACCCAAAAAAGCCCATCATGTTAATTTTTAAAAATTGTAAATCGATTTTTTTTGCTTATATTTGAGCTTATATTAATTTTTAAAGGGATTCTGCACTTCTACAGGAAAATATCTTTCCAACGGTATGCGTAGATTTTCCCTGCGATGCACACGAGCTGAGAAAAAAGGTTTTTAAGAAACATGCTTGCCTATTGATATGTAGATTGTGTTCTATCTTTATATCTAAGAGCTGTTTTACAGGTTATCTTAGGACGCAACAAACTCATCATAAAACCTCTGACTGATTTATATTTAGTAGTCCTATAACCATGTTGTATCCTATTCACATTCATGTCATGTAGATTCCTTTATCTAGTTTTGGAATAGAGATGAACCAAGGACCCAAGAGCAGAATTCAGCCACTGAGTGCGCTAGTGCACTGATGATAATGGCTGGTTTTTGTCGAATATACGTTGTAACCAATCCTGACCGAGAGGACGCATTGTA